TCGCCAATAATATTGTGATGACTTTCTGATACCATCTCTCGACCAGAGCCAGAGATAATGGAACTCTTTTTTTCTGAAATGGTCAAGAGTAATTCGATCAGTTTATTATAACTAGCAGCTAAATGTTTTTTTTTAGTTTCATCTTCTGATCGAATAGTCTGAGCCACACCTAAGGACAGAGAGAATGAGTGAACGAAAAGTCAATAAAAAAAAAACAGTGCCGCTTACTATTGATGATTCGAGTCTAAAATCACGAGAAGCAAATACGAATTATGTAGTTAGCTAACAAAAGTAACTTACTAATCGCCATAAACGAAGAGAAATGAACAATAAAGATATTTCGGCGAAAATATTGTCTTTATACATCATAACGATATCGAGAACAAAAGAAGCAATAACAACGATTGCATCAAGCCATTCCATTTTTCTATGATGAAAATGCCACCAATGCCGCCCAAACGTAAATACTTTGACTAAAATTTCGACAACAAACACTGCCAACAATGTCAAAGAAGAATAGTGAAGAATTTCGATGGCCAATTCCATTCGATGATGTTCATGTTTATTGTGCACAACAGTTTTATTAATATATGCTGCGTCGCAAATTTTATGGAACTTGATAAAATCAAGTACGAGCTGAGCTATCACAAGTAAACAATCGATGAGTACGAGTCCAATGATCACAATATGGAACATCGGCTGTTCAATAAATCGAATAAAGTTACGTTGCCATTCATTATGAACATTCCACCATTTGCCGAGTAATGAACAGCATACATTATCAAATTTGAGACAGCCGCCTTTGCCTCGAGTCTCCTTAGTGTTCTGCTCGATTTTTTCGACGAGCGTCAGTTTGGGTTTCTTCGGTATGAGCATAGCGATTACTGGATCAGTATGGAGTGTCTCTGGGAAGTCATCTTGATATAACTTTGGTTCGGTTACGTCCATTGATTACTGTTCTTCTAGCTTCTGATCTTGGAGCAATGCACAAAAATGCACAGTATCTAACGCATAAAAAAATGAAAAAAAGAAGAAGATTGCTTTTGTTGAGACTTTTATAAAGGACATATTCTGACTTAATGAGCAACGATAGTAGTAAGAACAAACAATTCTTAAAATAGCCTGCTTCAATTTGAAAGCCTTTTTCTCTCAAATCTCACTTTATCTGAATTTTAATGTCATTCCAACTTCCTAATGATCATATAACACTACAGTAAAAAGTCAACACTCCTGATCAGAGTCACCCATCTCTTGATGCTCTCTTTAGATTATGTTTAACGCTAATCCAAATCTACTGGCTACCAATTAACGGTGTCTGATTCAAAAAAATCACTAGTTGTTTCTGTTCAATACGAGTGCGACTAGGATAAGCAAAATGAAATTCACATTAGTCATATATAATACTAGCACGTAATGCTAGCCAATATATATCCGAATCAAAATCGATTTGTATGGATTAGCTAATCTTATTCATTGCATAAGAGTTCCACGTTCGTCATTGTATAGAAATTTCAATAACGTTCAGCTGTGTCCTACATTCTCGTCCTATTTTATCATTTTCACTACTTGTTTTATTGATAGACTGCTTTCATAGCCTTAACAACCATGCAGTAACCCGTAAAAGTGATATTCCTCGGCATGATATATGTTGTCTACGGAAACCATACAAAACATTTTTATTAGAGTATTGAACGAAAAACAGATAGAACCTAAGTTCAACTCTTCACAATCAAATCCTAGGAAGATATTGACAAAATATTAAATTATCATAATCTCTGTAACACTCCTATGGCTATTAACAGCATCTAACAAAGAGTAGAATAATAAATGATTCAAAGCTCAACTATATTTTCTGAGGGTATACCGTATTGTCAGTAGCGATGATTCTATGTAGGCGAATATATGCAGCAAAACGGAAAAATTTAGTTCATGGAAATATGACCTATCTTGAATCTCTACAGTTACAAATACGCATGACATGTGTTTTATTTCACCAAAATCAGAATAATACGACTGAGAGTCGTCATAATGAAATAAAACATTCAGTTTCAAAAGAATTCATGAGCTTTCGTTTTAAATTTCAATCAAACTTTACAAAGACACATCTTATTTTTATTCTCAAATGCAAAAAAAAGTTCTGCTTCTCTTCTAATTTATGCTCAAATCAGTGAAACATGAGGTACACCAAAAGGTACCATATTAGTCGCAAAATCGCTTTTGAATCAGTTATGAATTGGATTTCGAACAGTCAAGTCAAACCATCATTTTATTAGGTATGAGTAAAAGCCCACTACTATCAGTCGAGATCCTTTCATTGAAAACAGAAGAGTTTTCGACCCAACTCTTCTGTTCAACGTAGTCACTGACCAGGATCTTTCTCTTTAATAGCTTTAAAGCAACAATTTGAATTGTAGATGACCAATGCCAAACACTACACTATACGACACTGTATGACGCCTATTTTCTTTACAAAATGAAAGTAGACAGAAATACTGAACGAAGTAAGAGTTTTCTGTATGCTACGGTGAGTATTCAAACGATTTTGACGAGATGCTAAAATACAGTAGTTCGGTCTCTGAATCATTAATGATCTAGGGATATGCCGAGACATATTCTTGACGATGAATATGACTTCATGATAGAAGAGATTGATAAAATATAATTAGTTTTAAAAACTCGATAGAAATCATACAATTCGATCTTTCCACTGAATCACGGCGAACCCTTCTCATACTTTATGTACTACCCTAGTCGATGTCATTATTCAAGTCCTTGATTACTTGTTAGGAAATCATGCGTACTATGGACATTATGTATACAATTACTTGCTCAAATAATTGAGTCAAATATATTGATCAAGCTGCGCTGATCTGCTAATTGTAGATGCTTTCGCCATCCTCTATATCAATTTGTTTCTGATCCTATTTTCAGGTTTGCATAAAATACGAACAGAAAAAGTGAATAAAACGGATCGATTGATATCGCACTTGAGTGGAAACGATGCAATTAAATGCTCAAAGTTGAATGATATCTACTTCTGATGCGTGAATTACTATGACAGATCCGTTACACTTACAAGTGCCAAGTACAATGCCCTAGTAGATCGTAGAAGTAAGTAGTGAAAAAGATCTCAAAACTAACTTTCTAAACGCAACTCTCAATGGAAAATGCTAATCTTCTGTCATTTACTTTGTTTGATTGAGAATAGAACAGACACAATCCAAATTGATATGAGAAGCTAAATGGGCAATTTTCTAACGTTGCAAGAACGAAAAACGCAAATTCTTTCAACAAAAAAAAGTCAACATTCTACTCGTTGGATAATACTCCATTTTTCTCTGTTCAGATTCGTCAAGACACTTTTCCTCCATGAAATGTTGAAATGAGAAGCGAATGAAAACATATCTATTGCCAATCATTCTGAAAAGAGAACAGTCAAGTTATCCAGCAAGGTTCAATTCTTATAGTGTATACAGAAGGTCTGAAAAAAATCTTAAGTATCTTAATCTATAGAATGAACATGTATCTATTGTCTGAGATATATCGCTTTGCTACGTATTAACATTCCTTCAAGGTAACATTGTCTCTTTATAGGAGAATTTTTACAAGTACAGCGAAAAAGAAATATTGGTGTCTCTAGACTTATCATTGGTCATTCATGAAAACACATGAAAGATACATAACCATTGGCTGAGAGTTAGGAATATATAGGTTGTAATATACAAGTTTTCATTTCGCACAGTGAGAAAGAGATATGAGGGTGGATTAAATTTTTACCGATAATTCTCATCTTCGATAGCTCATGGATTCATAGCTAGAGATGTTGAGTACGAATTTAGTCACGGAAACATTAAGAATCGGTTCACTTCTACGGTAGTCTCGCTTTTACTAGAATATGAGACTCAATCTTAATTTGAGCTAGAAAAATCAAGAGCACGAGTGTGAGATAAAAGCAAGAAGTTACTCCTGTGTTGAGTACTCTCTACTCCTATTGTGTTAGGTATCGTATCTTGGGTGAGTGTTAAAACTTCCCTTAGCATGTAATGTATCACATTATAAAACGCAAAATGATCGAGCCCTACCAGTAAAGTTAGTTATACCAATTACAAGCTTATGTATTTTTGATGACAACAAACAATCGAAAAGAAAGAAGCAATAATTTACATAAAAAGAAAGTGTGTTTTCCACGACAACAAGCAACAGAAAAGAAAGAAACGATGGTTTACATCGAAAGAAAAAATATTTATCTTCCTAACTGAGATACAACCCGATATGCACTCTGCTTCACCACGTGGAAGCATATCAGGAGACATACAAAAAAAAAGAAAAATGACAGAAACGACATATCGCCGAGAGATAGAATCCACCATGCAAAAGTCAACGATTCTTTCAGAAAATATACGCTTGCGAATATTTTTTCAACGGCAATAATTGAGGCTCTGTTGTTTTCACCATTCGACAAGGATACAGGAGAGAATCGATCTGAGTTAATAAACTAGGATTTCACCAGTAGTCAATTACGTATGCTATCATATATGAAGAGAAAAAAGAAATGAGAAAGGTTCTACTCAGATATGGCAGTTTCAGTTTAAAAATTTGTTATCAGACTATCCTTCGGTTTTGTACTGCCACTTTTCAGTCGTTTATTCGTCACCTTCTTGTTAATATGCTAGAAGCTTTCTTTCATATCTCTTTCTATTTTGATGATGTGAAAGTATGAAATATCTGCAATGTTGTATTGGTGACAAATAATTCTCTTTTGCGAAAGCTATACAAAAGTTATCCGATCGGCAACTATCATTTCGAGTCTTGTTACTAAGTGCTGTGGTAAAGTTTTTAAATGGTGAATGATGACAATCTGTTCTATTCAAGGAATGAAAAGCTTTGTGCAGCACTTTTACTAATAATAACGAAATGGTGGTGAGGAAGTGATCTGTAATCTGTGGGTGAGACTTTCTATTTCTTGACACTTCGAAGCAAACTAATTATACGAAGTTTTTCACCATTACTTTTGTGAAACAAAATCTAAATTATAATCGATTATAAGTCGGATTTTGTTGCACAATAATTGGATAAGCAATTTTTATTATATTCATAGAATTTTGAAATTTTTCACTAGGTACAACTGAAAATTACAGTCAAAATCGGTTCAATTTCATCTGTATGAATGCTTTCTTCATGGAGTCTTTGTTTTTACTCGAGTTGATTTTCGAGAGATTTTTTTCTAGAAAGACAAACATGTCAATCGATGAAATTCATATCATCGCTACACTCTTTGGCCTATGTTCATACAGAACAACGAATTGGCTGTCTTTTGTGAGAAATTTCCGCTGTATTTCATGCGAAAAATTGAGATGTTTCTCCTATTCTATGAGTAAGGACTATTTGCTTTGATGTTAAAATCTTATGTTTTAATTGAGTAC